ATAAGAAAGATAATAATTATTGAGAGATTCCTCTTTTATATATCTTATTAGAAATGATGGTGTAATGCAATTCAACTCACTTGACTTTTCAAGTTTCCTCTTTGCTACTTTGTAGTACCAAATTTAAGAGATAATCTTTAACTTCCTTCATCCATGTCACATTGAGAGTTAAAATTCATACTTCTATTTCAAAAAATGGGTGTTTGTAGATTCATGGGCAATATTTATTATTATTGACTAGATGTTTTCAAGCTAACTAGTTTTGCTAACAACTATTGTATTTCCATCTCATAAGATGTGGTTGACGTTGATCTCTTTTAATTTCCTCAAGGATTTAAATTTATTTAGGTAGATGATTAGGGTTTACTCATTTTATTAGTATTTTCCATTGATTTGATTCACTGTGAGATGGGAATTATTGTTGTACTACACCAAAAAGAGCTTTTAACAGCGCACATTAGACAGCGCTTTTATACAAAAGAGCTGCTATAAGTGAATTTTAAAAAAAAACACGGAAAAAGTATATACAATAATAAATAAAAGCGCTCCTAAAAATGTGACCTTAGACAGCGCTTTTTAAAGGCGCTGCTAAAAGTGTTGCTTTAGAAAGCACTTTAGCAAAAGCATTGGTAAAGGACCACTTTAGACAGCGCTTTTAAAAAGCGCTGTCTAAAGTCATATAAAATTTAAAAAAAAAATCTTAAAAGTGCTGCTAAAGGGCCACATTAGCCAGCACTTTTCAAAAGCGCTGCTAAAGGACCACATTAGCCAACGCTTTATAAAAAGAGCTGTCTGAAGGCATATAAATTAAAATTAAAAAATAGAATCAGACTCGTTTCTCTTTTCACAGACTCGTTTCCCTCTCATGAACGAAAATCCTTTCTCTCTCCAAGCTCCTTCCGCCGTCGTCCAAGTGCCTTCCGCCGTCGTCAAACTCTGCTCGCCGTCCTTCGTCTGACCAGCCCTTTCCCTCCGTCCTCCACCGTCTCTCTCGGTTGTTCTCCACCCCGTCCGACCCTTTCTCAAGGTAGGTTCTTTCTTGAATCTGAGTTTTATTAAAATCATGATAAACTAAAATGCTCAATGTTGTTCTGTGTAAAATCAATTTGGGAAGTGTTTTTATTTGTTAGAGTGCATTAACATGGCTAAGAGCAAGCTAATAGAGAAGTTGTTTGTACCATGATTCTTGTTGGCATAAGTTTATGACTGGTTTGTCAGAATCTATTTCTTTTATGGTGTAGATCATTATTTGACTGGTTTGTGTGGTTCTGGGAAAAGTACTATTGCTAAGAAGCTTTGTTGACATCCACAATTCAAAGGTAGTAACTTATTGCCTCTTCTTCTTTGTTTCATATAAATGACTTATAATATAAGCAATTATATGATAAACGCGAAAATAAGTTGTTTAATCATATAGGGTGTTAGTCCTTTAAATTATTTCATCTCATTAGACATTCAATCATAGTAAATATCCAAATTTTCATGATTTTAATAGCATAACTACAACATAAGGACTAGTTACTTCACTTCATATATATATATATATATATATATATATATATATATATATATATATATATATATATATATATATATATATATATATATATATATATATATATATATATATATATATATATATATATATATATATATATATATATATATAATTAGTAGAGTTTGGTTATGAGATATATAGGTACTAAATTTCTAGAAATAATCCGTTTAAATCATACAAAATTTCTAAAAGTTTGTATTAATCTTTTTATAGTGTATATACTATTTTCTCTATTTTGTTTATTTTAATATTTAACACATATTTCTCATATAATTAAATAGTTTTAACTTAAACATACTATGTTATATTATTATGTAGTACTTTGATGAATTCAAGTGTGCTTATTACTCAAGTTCTCAGTTGGATGAACTTAAGAAGGATTTGTGTCAATACATTATTGAGACGAAAGTTATATAAGGTATATTGTAATCTTACTTTAATTGTTGAGAATTTTGAGTATATATATTCAAGTGTTGCAATTTTGTTGTTATTTGTCATGTGGTAAATTATATATATTTTATTTGTATCATGGTATGAATTACGATATTTTGGTGTTGTTTCAGGTTATATGTGCATATGTAGAAGATAGAGATGAATAGATTTTGTAATGGTATATAATGGTGTTGTTTTGGTGTTGTTTTTTTGTAAAAGTATATACAGGTGCAAAATTTGTAATTTGTAATGGTATATACAAGTATCATAGTATCTTTGGTATGTATTTGTATCATAGTCTCATAGTAATTTGTAATGGTTTAGGATAATATGTAATTTGTAAAAGTATCATAGTATCTTTTGGTATTATTTTTTATTGGATTGAAGTCCCAATATTAGTGAAAATCTGGTGAAATTTATAATGGTATATACAGGTGCAAAATATGGTGAAAACCTGGTGCAAATATGGTTAAAATTTGTGCATATAAAATTGTATATATCAAACAGCGCTTTTGTTTCAAAAAGATTATATATAAAATTTCGTTGACATTAGACAGCGCTTTTACGTAAAAGCGCTGTCTAAAAGGGATCTTTTTTTTATTTTTTTTGTTTTAGAAAAAGCGCTGGCTAAAGGGGACCTTTAGCAGCGCTTTAAAAAAAGCGCTACCTAAAGGTGGCTTTAGACAGCGCTTTAACATTAAAAGCGTTGCCTAAAAGGGATTTTTCAATATTTTTTTTTGTTTCAGAAAAAGCACTGGCTAAAGGGGGTCTTTAGCAGCGCTTTTACCTTTAAAGCGCTGGCTAAAGGGGGCCTTTAGCAGCGCTTTTACCTTTAAAGCGCTGGCTAAAGGGGGTCTTTAGCCAGCGTTTTAAAGGTAAAAGCGTTGCTAAAGGCCCCTTTTAGCCAGCGCTTTTACTTTTAACAAAGAGCTATCTTTTCCTACAGTAGCGCTGGAATAGACAACGCTTTAAAGTGCTGTCTAAAGTCAAAAAAAACGTTGTCTAAAGTCTTGTTTGGCGTAGTGAATTGACTTGGAGATCTAGCGTTCTCATCTCCCAAGCCAATTGAACACCTGATATTAGATCTTCGCATTATACTTCATTATTATCGTTTGAAGTCGAGCTACAGGGTTTGATGTATGTTGAGATCCTCTAAGACCTTTGTTTATGATTCCTTATCTATTTCCATTAAAATAGGATTAAAAATTAATAAAGGTGGTTCATACGTTAGTACTTGACTAACGTTTCATCTCGACAATAAATTATACCAAAACTTGATATTTAATTGCTTGTATTGGTTCGAAGTTAATTTAAAACTCTAAGAGCTTTACTGGCTATGTCATTATCCTTTATGAGAACTCATAGTTATTTAGAATACTTTTAATAGAAATGTCAATTTTGACGATTATCGGGTGTGAATACAAATAGTACCTGAGTCTTTGAGCTAAAATCACTAAGGCGAATATCAAATTACTAGTTTGTGATATTGCATCTTTGTTCCTTGTAACAGTATGGTTACGTAGTACATTGGGTAATATACACCACCCCATCTTAAACTAGTCCAACTAATGATGTCTTTAGTGAATGCTAAATAGAGTTTTTTGTAAGGAGGTAGGGCGAAATCTAATGGGGTGACGTTCTATGATATGGAATGTAGTGATTTTGAAGGGTTAGAAATAAAATTGTGTTTTCGGGTGTTATGACAAACGTGAAAGATGTGAAGGATAGAAATATTTTTTGGCTTGGAAATGGTTCTTGGGAGGATCAATCGAGAACTATTGCATTTCACATATTGACTTCAAAATCCTATCATTTTCATTAACAAATAGTGAATCGAGATTTTGGCTTAGTTTAGGGTGATTGTGCCCCTTTCTTCTTCTCTCGATGGTTTTTGATTCGGCAGTAATGATCTTGTTAGCTTGAGATCTAGTCTGTTCGCCCTTTTCAGTGTAATCCTTTGAGGCTGGTGCTTATTTTAGAGTTTCTTTTTATGACTTGTCAATCTTTAGCATTTCACTTTCTTTCTTTTTTTTGTTTGTTTGATGTCTCGTTTGTATAATGTAATTGTTGTTACTCCTTATACCAATTGTTTGCTCAGTTGTACTTTAATTTATCGAAGGCATTCTCGCATTAAAGGTTCATTGAAAACACTATAGTTTCTTGACGACTTGATAAAATAGTTAACAACGAGCTGCCGACCTTGACAAAAACTAAGACAAGGGTGTTATTTATTATGCTTGTTGTTGTATTTCTTTTATAGATGTTGGACTTTAAAACTCTAATCTCCTCTTAAAAATATTAATTCAAGAACTTCCCCTAGAGTTATTAAACAAACTCACAAAATATATAAGTTCGTGGGGGCAAGTGCCCCACTTAGGAACACATACCTACATATGTCTCAAGTGTAAATCCAATTCCCATCTCTTCTCTTAGTCATTTTATATATTCAAACAAGGTTAATGAATCATATTATTAAATAAAAACTCAAAAAATACACTTAGTATATAAATTATGATAATCACATAAAGAGGCATAATAAGAGATATAAATCTTTGTTAATGCAACGTGAAAGTCAATAAGAGTTTGAATAAAGGGCATACATGTTGAAGTGAAGAAGACAATAAGCATCATCATAAATGAATGCACGATTAAATGCCATGCTTTCGACAGCTATATTTATCAGCAGGTACATTCCCACGTTTATTTTTTTGACAAATAAAATAAAACTCAAACAAAAGAGACGTACATTTACACAAATGATTGAAAGCGACTACTAAATTTTAAATTTCAAAATAATATGCAAATTGTAATATTATTATTATTATAAGTAAAGCAGCTATAATTAGTTTACTCGTGTGACATTTGAAGTTTCAACTCTCAACTTTATTGTCACCTTTTTTTACAAGTTGCTGTTTTAATTTTAGTATACTATGTATATATAAATACGAGAGACCCTGAAGTTTATGCTTTCAAATATCCAAAAGAAGAGAATTTGGATTTCTATAACAAAATGGGAAGAGCTCCATGCTGTGAGAAAATGGGGTTGAAGAAAGGACCATGGACTCCAGAAGAAGATAGAATCCTCATCAATCACATTAACACTTTTGGTCATTCCAATTGGCGTGCTCTTCCCAAACAAGCTGGTAACTTTTATTTTAATCAATATATGAATTCAAACCCATATATATATATAGTATCACTTTCATGAAATTAATAAACCAAAGTTTTAATTTTCTCATTTTGTTAAATTTCTTTGATGAACAGGTTTGTTGAGATGTGGAAAGAGTTGTAGATTGAGATGGGCAAATTATTTGAAACCGGATATCAAACGTGGTAATTTCACCAAAGAAGAAGAGGATGCAATTATCAATTTGCATCACACGTTGGGAAATAGGTAAAAATTATTATTATATTTTCACCACCTTAATTATTAGAATATCCTGAATCAAGATTTTGTATCTACAAAACAGTAAAAGATTTCTTTCAATTTAACAGAAATTTTTGCTTCCAACATGGTCATGGACAAACAATAATGTTAAATTTATTGTTGTCCTAAACACAAAAACTATTTAACAATTTTTTTTTTTGATAAGTATTATATAGAAATAGAAAGTAATCGGATAATAAATTGTTTCGCAATTTTTTGTAAAAACTAAATTTATAGATCTAAGAAATACAATATTGTTATTTAATAAATTAATTTATATTTTTCTAATAATAAAGAGAAAAGGAATAATAATGGTTAGTCCCATTGGCTTTAGATTTATCTTGAATTTTAAGGGAAGCAAAATCATAACCAGACAAAAACACATAGATATCGCTGTCTGTCTCCAGAACCTCTTTTACATTTTCACATGTTTTATAAATTAGTACCAAGTGTTGTCATATTCCTCCTATAAAGAAACAAATAACTAAAATACAAAATAGTATTTCACCATGTTTTTATTTTACAAATATTTAATTAATTAATTAATTAATTATTTAATGATAATGCAGATGGTCAGCTATAGCAGCAAGATTACCTGGCCGAACAGACAACGAGATCAAAAACGTATGGCACACACATTTGAAGAAGAGGCTGCCACAAAACCAACAACCCAACAATGAAATCTCAAAACAAAATAAAAAACAAGAACAAAATGATGATCAGAAGTCACAATGTTCTAGTGACATTTCATCCCATAATAATAATAATAATAATAATAATAATAATAGTATTAGTAGTAGCGTTGTTACTACTAATAATCATGATAATAGTAACAATAACGATGATGTTGACTCGGCTGAAAATAGTTTTGCATTGGATGATGATTTCTGGTCGGAAGTTTTGTCGTCTAATAAATCTAACAATGAGACAAATGGTGTTATGGACATTGGTGCTGATGATTATGAATTTCAAGTTGGTGATGAAGGTGTGTTTAGTTCTAGTTCATTGAGTTTATGTTAAGATTAGCTATTTGTAATTTGAAGATTAGCTCTTAATTACATTAGCTATTTTAGTATGTTAGTTATTTTTGATTGGTGGATATATGCTTACTCATGCTATATATGGATAAGTCTTGTACACATGTAAATCAATAAGCAGTCATCAATTTTACTGCACATTTCTTCTCCTTTTCTTTTCTGTTTTACTTCATCCCTTTCTTTAGTTCTTTAATGGTGAAATAGCTTCACCTTAATATGGTATCATTCGCCAATTCGATCCTCCTTCCGCTGTCCTTCAATTGAAGCTTTCTCTTTCCCCTGTATCCATGGCTCCTCGAACCCCACCTCTTGATCCATCTTTGGATCAAACTTCACCTTACTTCGTTCATCCAAGCGATGGCCCTGGTTCTGTTACTGTTCTTCCGAAGCTTACTGGTTCCAATTATCATTCATGGGCTCGCAGTATGAAGAGGGCACTCGGTGGAAAAATGAAAATTGAGTTCATTGACGGTTCTCTTCCCGCTCCTGTTGATTCTTTTGATCCATCTATGCGTGCGTGGAATCGCTGCAACATGTTGGTTCATTCTTGGATTATGAACTCAGTTTCAGATTCAATTTCTCAGTCCATCGTCTTTATGGAAAATGCGATTGATGTATGGAAAGATTTAAAAGAAAGATTTTCTCAGGGTGATCTCATTCGCATCTCGGAGTTGCAGCAAGAAATCTACAACCTCAAGCAAGAATCCAAATCGGTAACTGATTTCTTTTCTGAACTTAAAATTCTTTGGGAAGAGCTAGATTTGTATTTGCCTTTACCTACTTGCACTTGTCGCATTCAATGTTGTTGTGAGGCTATGCGTAGTGCAAGATCTAATCACCAATTGATGCAAGTTATCAGGTTTTTGACTGGTTTGAATGAGCAATTTGCTGTAGTCAAGTCTCAAATCTTGTTAATGGATCCTTTGCCAAACATGAACAAGATATTCTCTATGGTTATTCAACATGAGCGCCAATTTCAGTTCCCTGCTTCTTCTGTTTCCAATGATGAGTCCCAGTCCTTGATCAATGCTGCTGATTCTAAGAAATTTGGTGCAAGAAACAATTCTTTTAAACATGGAGCTCGTGTATGTACCTTTTGTGGCAAAACCAATCACACTGTTGATAACTGCTTCAAGAAGCATGGTGTACCACCCCATATGCAGAGGCAGTTTCAGAATTCAACTAATAATGTTACATCAGAAGGCAATGATGATGGATCCCTTTCTCATGGTGCTGACATCAAAAGTGACACTTCACCTATAACTCAAGCCCAATTCAATACCTTAATGGAGCTAATTCAGAAATCCAGCATTGGCCAATCCTCAGGACATGCTTCTTCCAATCAAGTTGCTGTTGGTCATTTATCAACAGGTAACATATCACATTGCATGCATAGTAGTAGTCTTGGTTCTTGGATCATTGATTCAGGAGCTTCTGATCATATTTGTTGTTCTATAAAATGGTTTCATTCATATAAGAAAATTATTCCTATCAATGTTAGATTGCCAAATGGTCAGTGTCTTGTTGCAAATCATGCAGGTACCATTCATTTTTCTGCTGATTTTATTATACATAATGTTCTTTTGGTCTCTGAATTTTCTCTAAACCTTTTATCAGTTTCCAAGCTTTGTGAAGCATCTAATTACACTATCAGATTTCTCAATTCACAATGTATTATACAGGACAAAGTCACCTTGAAGATGACTGGTTCTGCTGAGCAAAAAGATGGTTTGTACTACCTAACACTAAGGGATAATGCTTCACATCCAACACATTCACCTGCTTTCACATCTGCCTTAGCCACCACAGTTACTTTACCTGAAAAGGCCCTATGGCATTTTAGATTAGGACATTTATCACACAATAGACTCTTGTACCTACATTCCAAATTTCCTTTTATCACAGTTAACCATCAAGATGTTTGTGATGTTTGTAATTTTGCTAGACAAAGAAAACTGTCATATACTGCCAGTAATAATAGAGCTGCTCATCCTTATGATCTAATTCATTTTGACATTTGGGGACCTCTTGCTGTTCAATCTTTGCATGGTCATTCCTATTTTTTAACTGCTGTAGATGATTGTAGCAGATTCACCTGGATAACCCTAATGAAAACTAAGTCTGAAGCTAGACAGCATGTCATAAATTTTGTGAGTCTCATAGAAAATCAACATAAAATGTCTGTCAAAATAATCAGAACTGATAATGGTGCTGAGTTTCAGATTCCTGAATTTTATGCTTCCAAGGGGATTATCCATCAAACTAGTTGTGTTGAATCTCCACAGCAAAATGGTAGAGTGGAGAGGAAACATCAACATTTGTTAAATGTTGGAAGAGCTCTTCTTTTCCAGTCAAAACTCCCCAAAAAATTCTGGTCATATGCTGTCTTACATGCCACCTTTATTATCAATAAACTTCCTACTCCAGTTTTAAGTAATTTTTCTCCTCATTTCATTTTATATAATGAACATCCTGATATGCATTGTCTTAAAGTTTTTGGCTCTTTAGCTTTTGCATCCACATTAAATGTCCACAGAACCAAACTTGAGCCAAGAGCTAGAAAATGTGTTTTTCTTGGATACAAGAATGGAATGAAGGGTGTGATACTTTATGATATTAACAGTCATACCATTCTTGTCTCTAGAAATGTCATACACCATGAACATATATTCCCTTATTCAAATGTCAATTCTATTAATTGGGATTATCATGTGCACAAGGAAGTTCCATTTCAAAATATTCAGTCTGCTGATGGAAATCATGACCATCACTATACCATAACTAATGACACATTATATCATCCCACCAATGACCCTAATATTGTAGAAAATGCTGATGAGAACCATGGTACTGAAAATACTGATGAGAACCATAGTACTCAACCAGTCCCTAATGCATCAGACCCTGAAAATACTGATGAGAACCATAGTACTCAACCAGTCCCTAATGCATCAGACCCTGAAAATTGCAACATTCAGCCCAGACCTGTTAGAATCAAACAGACACCTCATTATCTCTCAGATTATGTGTGCAATTCATCTGATGCATCTGCAGCCATGTCATCATCAGGTACATCAAAAGTTATTTATCCTATTTCAAATTATGATTCATTGCATTTTCTGTCTGCATCTCATCGTGCTTTTGTTTCCAATATCACTCTCACCCATGAACCAAAGTCTTATAAAGAAGCATGTTTGTCTGAGCATTGGATCAAAGCTATGAAATCTGAATTAGATGCATTAGACAAGAACAGGACTTGGAATATAGTTGATTTGCCACCACATGTCAAACCAATTGGAAACAGATGGGTGTTCAAGGTAAAACATAGAGCAGATGGAACAATAGAGAGGTATAAAGCTAGACTTGTGGCCAAGGGCTACAATCAAATAGAAGGGGTTGATTTCTTTGACACATTCTCACCAGTAGCAAAGCTTACAACTGTCAGAACCCTTCTAGCAACTGCAGCTATTAATAATTGGTTCTTACATCAACTGGATGTCAACAACGCGTTTCTACATGGAGACTTGAAAGAAGATGTGTACATGACCATTCCTGAAGGTGTTCCATGCCATAAACTTAATCAAGTGTGTAAACTTCAGAAAAGTTTATATGGCCTGAAGCAAGCGAGTCGCAAATGGTATGAAAAGTTGACTGCTCTCTTACTGCACCAAGGGTACACTCAATCTACTTCTGATTACTCTCTCTTTACCTTAAGATCTGATAAACATTTTACAGCTATCTTAGTGTATGTTGACGATATAATCTTAGCTGGCACTTCTATGGTTGAATTTGATCGCATCAAGCTCATCTTAGATAACACTTTTAGCATCAAGGACCTAGGAGTATTGAAGTATTTTCTTGGCCTCGAGGTTGCCCATTCAAAGGCAGGAATTTCTTTGTCACAACGAAAATACTGTATTGATCTTTTGCAGGAATCTGGTATGCTTGGATCTAAACCAGCTCCTACACCTCTTGATCCATCTGTTAAACTACATGCTGATAATGGAAAAGTCTTTGAAGATATTGGTGCTTACAGACGTTTGATAGGTCGCTTGCTATACCTTAATACAACACGTCCAGATATTACATATGCCACTCAACAACTCAGTCAGTTTCTTCACAATCCAACAATGGCACATTACCATGCTGCTTGCAGAGTCGTTCGCTACTTGAAGAATAGCCCTGGTAGAGGAATTATGTTTAGAAGGAATGCTGAATTACAACTCTTTGGCTTCTCAGATTCTGATTGGGCAGGATGTATTGATTCAAGGAAGTCAATCTCAGGTTATTGTTTCTTTCTTGGAACCTCTCTTATATCATGGCGTGCAAAGAAACAAGATACCATTTCTAGATCTTCTTCAGAAGCAGAGTACCGGGCACTGTCGTTTGCTACATGTGAATTGCTTTGGTTGATAGCCCTCATGAAGGAATTGCACATCACTTGTACCAAACTTCCAGTTCTGTACTGTGACAACCAAAGTGCAATGCATATTGCGCTCAATCCGGTATTTCATGAACGTACCAAGCATCTTGAGATCGATTGCCATCTTGTCCGTGAAAAACTTCAGCAAGGTTTATTACGACTTCTACCAATTTCCACTCATGATCAACTGGCTGATTTCCTAACCAAAGCCTTGTCCACCTCAACTTTCAACAAATTCATTTCCAAGCTTGGCATGATTAATATTCACCATGCTTAGCTTGAGAGGGGCTGTTAAGATTAGCTATTTGTAATTTGAAGATTAGCTCTTAATTACATTAGCTATTTTAGTATGTTAGTTATTTTTGATTGGTGGATATATGCTTACTCATGCTATATATGGATAAGTCTTGTACACATGTAAATCAATAAGCAGTCATCAATTTTACTGCACATTTCTTCTCCTTTTCTTTTCTGTTTTACTTCATCCCTTTCTTTAGTTCTTTAATGGTGAAATAGCTTCACCTTAATAGTTTATGCCAAGATAAGGATTTTTGGCATGA